CTGAATTTTCCAAATACTGTAGCATAGCCTTCACATCATCCAATATCATTTACTCAATTTTTTTGAAATATTGAGAAATTATGCTTTTTCTTTGTGTTTGCCAATTAATTTTCAAATCATTGCTGAATTTGCCAAATAGTGTAGAATAACCTTCACATCATCCCGTATCATTTACTCAAATTTTTTGAAATATTGAGAAATTATGCCAAATCTTTACCTCAGAATGATAAAAAGAAAAAGATGTTTTAATTTCTAATTTTTGATAAATTTCATTAAAAAGAGTTTGTGATTGAAGTTATTCAATAATATATCATGCATCCTTGAATTTTTGAAATGAGACAATTTTTTGGGATATCATCAAGGATTTTAATAATTGAGAATTTAAAAACTGCTCCCAACAGGTAAAAGCACCCATTTTATATATCGTAAGGTTGTTTGGGATCTCAATCATATTGAATAAGTAACCTCAAAATAAATTAAAATAACATTTTAGGACATTTTTCTTTGTGTTTGCCAATTAATTTTCAAATCATTGCTGAATTTGCCAAATAGTGTAGAATAACCTTCACATCATCCCGTATCATTTACTCAAATTTTTTGAAATATTGAGAAATTATGCCAAATCTTTACCTCAGAATGAAAAAAGGGAATATATTTAGTATAGCTCTCAGAATAGCGATGCATTTTTTAAAGAAGCAGATTTGAAAATTGAATTTTCTTTACAATTCAGTAATGGTAAAGCAAATCTCTTCATCCTTTGGTTTCCTCTACATTTCAACGTATATGACAAAATATAAGAGAAATCGAATGTTATTTTTAACAATTTTTATAAATTTTCATTTATTCGAAAAAATAAGCTTGGTGGGAAGCACAACATTGAAAAAAATGTATCAAAAGTGGTTTCCTTATTTTGCTTGTGGAAACATCCAGTAAATTTTATTTTTGAATGGAAATACATTTTTATGATATTGCAAAAAAATATACTGTACTTGGTAATTTGTATTTTACTACAGTTCATGGTTATGCTGTGGCTTCCATAAAAAGGATAATAAATATTTTAAATACTTTACTTGATATAGTCAAAGAAGTGCTTATCCAACATTCGGGTCATGAAAATACAGTACTTCATTCATACTTTAAAAATGTATCAAAGATATATTTTGTCTCAGGAGGTAGTAAATTCTCTTGTATCAATAAGTTATAACCATTTTATTCAACGCCTATATTCTTTGCCTTGGGTGTAAAATTTTGAGATCTTTTTTAATGTCTGCAAGTTGTCTGCTTACTAATGAAGTAAAAACTTGTCGACGTCTATAGATTTCCACACGCTTTAAAAAATAAATTAGCACTATAAAAATGATCTGGGGCAATGGTTAATTTTGCCGTGTCGAAAAGATTTCTCGGAAAAATAATCGGCGCCCTGTTTATGACAAATTCGGCTTCTTTATTTCTCGGATAAAATTTATGGATGCATAGAATCAGCCGTGTCATTATTCTCCAGTCTAGTACTTTTTTTCAGAAGAAAGCTGTACATTTTCTTGGTGAATTTTTTTTTTGGCGTGATTTTATTTTTCACAGTCGACTACATCATCATGGTTGCATAATCTATATACTGACAATAAGTTATCGGTTTATTCACCAGTAAAAAAACCGGACTGAGAGTCGATTCTATTTTTATTTTTTTACTTTTATTGGGAATGTGTTGAAACTCGGCCAAATGGAAAATGTTCTCTACGGCCTAGGCTTGATTTTATTTCTTGCTGAATTGACATCGTGGTTGAGATTTATGATGATGCAAACTTCTGCTTTGTTACTTAATGATGCTACAATAATCCATCAATCGTTGGTTTAATGAGTGCGGGGGTCTGATGAAACATATAATGCATTCCAATGAACAGCAAACATCTTTTTTTTTCTATAAACCTTGAAACACGGATATGGAATTTTTATCGTTGAATTTTTGAAGATAAACCCTGGCTTTCTTGTGTCTGATGCAAGATTTGTTATGTAGTTTTTATAGTAGTCTTAATAATTAACCTTCATAAGGTTTTACTACTTGCAACAGCAGAAAAGTTATCGTCGAAGATGCTACGGTGCCAGGTGTATCATGGCACCGCGATTTTAAGGAGGGGAGGTTATTTATATGAATTTCTAAGAAGTATATATTGTACATTAATCGTACATGCCCAACAAATGTGTTGAAACTCGGCCAAATGGAAAATGTTCTCTACGGCCTAGGCTTGATTTTATTTCTTGCTGAATTGACATTGTGGTTGAGATTTATGATGATGCAAACTTCTGCTTTGTTACTTAATGATGCTACAATAATCCATCAATCGTTGGTTTAATGAGTGCGGGGGTCTGATGAAACATATACACGTAAGGTTACTTGTCGTTTGTAGAAAAAAAAAGATATTTGGAACTTTGTGCCTATACCTTAAAAATAGCAACTTAAAAACTTCTATTTGGGACCGAAAGAACACAGACTACGTTCTAAACAATACGTGATGATGTCCACAATTATTTTTTCTTGGCATAATACCGAGAAAGATGCGAGAGCTGAATTTTGATCAACTTGCGTCAAATCTTGTGAAGTTTTGGTGGAAAGTGAAGAATTTAACAGGATGGTGTGATGGAAAGTTCTTATATATACAAATCTCCAAGTACTTTCCAGTTTGCAAGAAGAAAGAAAATTATCTCGCATGTTATTTATTTTTTTACTTATAGGGAACTGATGTATGCATAATTATTGTCTTCCTGCTGGGGTTCATAGCCATGTTGTCATCACAGAGGAGTGGCAAAGAGCTCAGCAGCAGTGGCATAATTAATTTCTTGGCTATTCTTGAATTTTATTTGTTTAATTTGGAGTATTGGTTTAATGTAATGTTTCTCAATTTTCATCATTGCAGTGTGATGCTAGGAATTAATTTCAATATACTCCAATATGCTATAAGTGACTATGCTGTGTAAGTAGTTTTTAAATTGTGATGTGAATGTATGAACTGTCTTTTTTAGACATTATCAAAAAATTCAAGTGTCAGTATGATTTCTTGATTTTTGTAATCTGATAAAAAAACATCCTTTAAATTTTAGATCAGCTTTTGTTTGGCAAAAAAGGGCACAGCGTGTTTCAAAATGGTATGTAATGGCAGTTTACTTCTCCATTAATCAGCAGATTTGTTTTTACAATTTTTCAGATTGTCATTTTTCCCAGCTCAAAATTGGATAATTGACTACATTATTTTTACATAGGATATCAATCAATTTTACATGGGATATAAATTGAATGAGGTCTCCTGTAAATCAAACCAGTTTTTCATGTAATAAATGAACTAGTGAAAGTGTTTCCCTTCATTAATTGTGCGTCATGATGCAATTTCATTTTCCAAGAGTCAAGATTGCAGGATAATATATGATGTAAACATAGTTTAAAAAAGAATCAGACACTCAATTACGGAAGAATTTGAATAAACAACACATATACATAGACTCATAGAGGAATAAATGCTTGGCTACATTGTGTGTCCTTCACATTTTCAGTCATCTATATACTGAACTGTTGTATACTGTAGATATGTACAGTACTGTACTGCTGTAATATTGTATTTAAGAACATGAATGTATAGGAGGGTTTATTTAATTTCACTTGGAGTAAAGTGATTCTTAAAATTCACTCAGAGTCAATATATATAAGATTGTCAATTTTTGCCACTGCAGATTTAATTTTAAAAAATTAGATTACTGTACTGTAAATAGATTCATTAAAGTCTTTATCTAATCTGATGTAATCCCACATTTAAAAAGCCAATAAGATTTCAGTATATAGTAATGTGTATTATAGGATGAGGTTTTTTATATACTGTACAAGCTTCCAGGAATTTTCCCTCTGTTGAAGAGATATTACAAAATAAAATAAAAATTGATTGCTATATATATATATGTATAGACAGTCGTAACAAGTTGTTAAGGTCTTTCCCTTCGAATGCGGGTGGGAACAAATGTTGAAAAATATTATATGAATTCTCCGAGAAGGTTCTTTATTACAAAACCCAGAACCGTTTTCTCCGCTGCAATAGGACACGTGATTAGAGTCGGAATTCTTCCGGTTGTGACGAAATGCGTTCGATTTTGTCAACAGGAACAACTTTTATATACAAGTGCTAACGACTCTATTTCATAATTCAATTAACGTGAATCCATGAGCGGCATTTTTCTTCTTATTTTTCGGGTCGGATGCGGTTGGAAGGTCTTTGGGATGCGCTTCACAGCGGAAAAGGGATATCCAGAAAAAGATATACTGGATCTGGTGATGCAAGTGCCTTTTATGGAGGTCCTCGTAAGTGGCTGTATATAGATCATTTATAGAGACTCATCAGGAAGAGCTTGGGTGGCAAAAAAAAAAAGCAGGAAGGAAATAAGAGGTAACAGCCCCAAGCAGGAAAGGTTACTGATGTTGCTAATGAGAATTCCGGGACCAGGATATCGCAGCAATCTTGATTATCTCCTTCATCAGTGCTCAACCAAGTTATCATTTGACCTCCCAGTAAGCGTGCTTTGTTTCATTTTAAATTATTTGTTTCATTCGAAAATTGGCACTTTCAAATGCTATTTAGTCTGTGTGACGTCCGTTCAATTTGTCTACCGCAAGTGTGTATCATCCGTTTATTCTTCAGCACGATGCGGAAGCGCCTCCAATTAATACTAAGGTAGGACGAAACTCGGAAATTCGATTGGCATCCAATTGGGTTACTGTGTTAATATTAATTTGAGAATTCGAATTATGCTTGTTCCTTACGTGACGACAGAGATTCATCTATCTTATTCCGCTGGAGATTTGAAATAAACATTTAAAAAATCATCAAAACTATTCCTGTGATGTGTTACTCTACACAATGCACGGGTACAACCGGTGGTCCCGGCCGGCGAGATCTGAAGAGCCCAAGTTCCCTCAGATGGTTTTGTGTTTGAAAATAGTATGCATCACAGCAGTGTTATGATTGGCAGAAGCAACCTTTTGTGTGGTTCACGAAGAACGTCCGCGAAATTTTAATCTTGATAACGGTAAATGAGAATGCGGTCTGTTTAAAGTGGCGATAGAGGAAAGTGCAATTTGAAAAATCTGTGAAGCCGCGTGAAGTCGAAACTAGGTGTAAGATGACGTCGGCGGTGAAGATGACCACCTATCACCTCGCGAATCTTCTGGAGAAGGTCTGTATGATCAGTTATGTGATGAATAGTTATTGTGCTCGACGAAGAATTATTTTTTCCGAAGATGACGTCGGCGGATAAGGATTACCGCTTCATGGCAACGAATGACTTGATGTCAGAACTGCAGAAGGACAACATAATTCTGGACGACGATTCGGAGAAGAAAGTCGTGAAGATGTTGCTGAAACTTCTCGAAGACAAGAACGGAGAAGTTCAAAATCTAGCAGTGAAATGGTACGTTTCATTTTTCCGATTGTTCCCTGAAAATCGTCTGCATTAATGTGCATCTTTCAGCATGGGTCCGTTGGTCGGCAAAGTTCGCGACGCACAAGTAGAACACGTGGTTGAATCGCTCTGTTCGAACATGCTCTCAGAAAAGGAACAACTCCGAGACATTTCCTCAATCGGACTCAAAACCGTTTTACCTGAAATTTCCCCAGCATCAATGCTTCTCGCTGCTGCATCAGGACCTTCGCCATCCGGCCTTGCCGCTGCAGGCCACAGTCAACCCGTGCAACTTCCAGCTAACATCGTGAAACGAATCACTCCCCGGATCGTTTCTGCGATATCTCGTGTAAGTTTATTCGAAAATATTTTAGAAGTTTTCTAGAGTCATCAGTTTCCTTTCTGTTTCAGGAGGATGTGTCGGTTCAGTTGGAAGCTCTTGATATTCTCGCGGATCTTCTGTCCCGTTTCGGACCCTTGCTCATCCCTTATCACATCAGCATCTTGGACGCTTTGGAACCGCAACTGGCTTCTGTGCGTCTCGCTGTTCGGAAGAGGTACGTGATCATGTTCTTGATGTCACTCAGTGTCCAGTGTTTCTACGATACCGATTTTCATCGCTTCGCAGGTCAATCATCTGCTTGGGTCATTTGACCATAAATTGTCAGAGCACGTTATACACTCGCCTGATCGACTTTCTTTTGGATTCGTTGCACACGAACGCGTCGATGTCAACTTCGAGGACGTACGTGCAATGCATTGGTGCCATTAGTCGTTCTTCGGGCCACAGGTTCGGGCTTTACTTGGAACGTGTGTTGCCGTTGATCTTCGGGTTCTGTCGGGCCGGTGCCGCAGGGAGTGTGAATGGAGAGGCTCGAGTGAATGAGAGGTAAGCATTCAGTTGGGGGTTTTCTGTACTACTGTAGTAATGTTTTCCACGCATTGGTAACAGTGACCCGTTTTCAACTTACATTACGAAAAATAACATGGCAGTGAAAAGCTGGAGTTAGCTGATATATTGAATCTCACATTTATCCAATTTAGTTGTTGTTGAAATAGCTGTACATTTGGACCTCTGTAAATCAAATTCCAAGGCGTAAGCAAAAAATCGACTAGCGAGTTTTTAAGTTGCAAAATATAATTTGCATTGTATCACAAAAGCATTAGGGAAATTTGAAGTTCGTGATATTTTTTGGCCCTCGTAAACAAGTTGACAAGTTGCTGAACTTGGTGGCAATTGAAACTTCTTTTGTTTTTGCAGTGAGGACGACGAATTGCGAGAGAACTGCCTGCAGGCGTGCGAAGCGTTCATGCGAACATGTCCAAAACATATGCAACCTTATCTCAGCGACTTGATGGACATGTGTCTCGAGTATTTGAACTATGATCCTAATTACAGCTACGGGGACGAAGAAGAAGACGATCTCGACTCTGGCAACGGTAAAGAAGAAATAAAACGCGATTCGATGAATTTATTTCTTATAGATGGATTAATGCGGGGAAATTTTGTGGCAGATAAACGAAACAAAACGAAGGATTCCATGGATTGGAATGACGATGATGCCGGAGGTGATGATGAAGACGAAGACCACGAAGAATACTCTGACGACGATGACATGTCGTGGAAGGTTCGCAGAGCAGCTGCGAAATGTCTTGAAGCCGTCGTCGTCACTGACGTTTCGTCTCTCCCACTTTTTGTCCACAAAGTCGCCCCCAAACTTGTGGCGAGGTTCGCATGTTATACCTTCTATTTTCTGTGAAAGCGTGATTCTGCTAAACTCTTGTCTGGTACTTCGAGGTGAAGATGCGTTCAGCTATCTCTAGAATTAATGACAGTTGATTGAATCTTAGGAATCGAGTGCTCGAAAAAGTTGGAATTTTTGTGTGATAGGTACAGTATGAGTTTTTTTTTTTAGCAAATTCAAAACCTTGAAAAAGGTAAAGGAAGATAATGTCGTTCAAGCTTTTCTCATACAGAATTTCTAGGAGTCCGAGAATTAAATTCAATCGAACCTCTTCAAGTCGAACTTCTTGGGACTAGCCAAGTGATTGGAGTTAAGAAGGTTCCAAGTTGGGGAAACGAGCATTTTTTGTGGCAAAGCAAGAAGAATTACATGAAATTGTGATATTCTGGGCCTTCCATTGCATCTTAAATTAGTTGGCAGCATGCTGAACCTGGAGGCAATGGTTTATTTTTCCCGTTAGTCTCTCACTTCCTTTCAAAGCACATCATGTCATTTTTTATTTATTTTTTCTTTCCTGTGTCAATCAAATTCATTATAAGAATTTGATGCTGATTACGGAGGTATTCGACTGAGGGAGGTTCGAGTTATTGAGGTTCAACCGTACGTACTTCAATTTAGAATTGTGAATCTCTCGATTTTCTCTGTCTAATCAACGACAAAGGAATTTTTTTCGATTAAAATTATTTCTGAATTGAAGAATTGCTTTTAATCATGCGTGTTCCTTTCAAATGAATGGAAATAGGTGAAAATTTTTTTCCTTGTGTGACTGGACGTCTATTCTTATGCTTTCTTCTTTCCCGTGTAGGTTCAAAGAGCGAGAGGAGAATGTGAAGGTGGATATTTTGCATGTGTACACATCCATGCTGAAGCAGTTGCCCAGGACGTGCAACTTGACCACTGCTGCTGCAACAGGAAGCAGCCAGACCACACAAGACGTGGACGAGATGGAAACTGAATTGGTGGACGGCCAGCACGAGTTGGCAACTCAAATGCCAGCCATGGTTCGAAGTATTACCCGGCAAATGAAGGAGAAAGGCGTTCGAACCCGTCAAGCCTGTTTGGCGCTTCTAACTGAACTCATTTCCGTGGCCCCGGGGACTCTGGACCAGCACGTGTCCGCTTTGATCCCTGGGATCCTCTTCTCTCTTGGGTAATCATGATTTTTATTTATTTATTGAAAAATCAAAATTTGGTTTACAGCACGCATTTTAATTTTAATATGTCTTCATTAGTGAGAAGAATGCCGTTAGTTCGATGAGGATGGAGACGCTGTCGTTTTTGTACCGGCTTCTGAGCTCTGTGCATCCGAGTGCTTTCCATGCGCACATAGCTGTGTTGTTGCCACCGGTGATCACTGCAGTGGGGGACAGCTTTTACAAGATAACTTCTGAAGCATTGCTTGTGACACAGCAGTTGGTGAAAATTATGCGACCTCTAGGTGAGATAATTTTTTCAATACTGTTTCACTTGATGTTTTTTTTTTTTTTAATGGAGCGCACCGAAGGTGAACGAGACTCGAGTAAGTTTACTTTTGAAAAATGTGAGTATATTTTCTCCCATCTAGTTGAGACAAGAAATGAGTTTTTTTTTTTTCAAGACGCATGATTGTCGAGTCAGTCTTGGTTGGTGATCGTGTAGAAATTTTTCATCTATAGTTGAACCTCGATAACTCGAGCGGTCGAACCTCCATCTGTCGATTTTTTTCAGGTGCTGTATCTGTCTGAATTCCCTTAGAAACTATGCATTAAAAACCTCTCCCAACTCAAAGGCTTTCCTCTGAAAACTTCCATAACGCTAATTTTCTGGACGCTTTTCAGAATTTTTTTTTGGTAGGCAGGGTAAAAGATGGGAAGAGAAAAACTTTTCCACGTTTGTGTTGAAACTTCTAACTTTATGATAATTTCAATCAACAGTGACCAATTTTGCTTTGTTTTAACTTTCAGATGAGGCAAGCGAGTCCAGTGGTTTTGATTTCGCACCCTACGTTAATGAGGTGTATCAGGCGACGTTGCACCGATTGCGAGCAGCTGACATTGACCAGGAAGTGAAGGAACGTGCGATCATGTGCATGGGTGTAGTGATATCCCATTTGGGCGACAATCTGGTCCAGGTTTTGCCCGCGTGTTTGCCCATTTTTCTCGACCGACTCCGGAATGAAATCACGAGATTGGCCACTGTCAAGTCCTTGAATCTTGTCGCGTCTTCGAGGCTGTGTCTCGATTTGCGACCTATTTTGGTGAGTTTGAAAATTAGCCCCTCGTTTCAAGAAGTAAAATGACGAAAACTATGACTACGAAGGAGTTGAATTTGAGCCAAAGCAACTGTTTTTTTATCCCTGGAATTCTTTGATGATGTCCTCATTTTTTCATTCTAAAATAGGAATCCTTGCCGCGTGAACAATTCGTCCATTAACTCATGATTTCCTGCGAAATTTGAGCCAAGTGTCCAAAAATGTGCGCCAATTTTATGCAGTGATGCGTAGAATGTTTCGTAACCGTTGATAAATTCACCGAAATTTAGAGATAACTACATTTTTTCTGGCATTGCGCAAGAAGCGGACCACTTTTGATGAATGGAAGTTGAAATCAAGAAACGTGAGAATAATTCGAAGTTGTGTAAATTCGATTCGCTGAATTTTCCCAGGCGGAAGGAGTTCCGATTTTGGCAACGTTTTTGCGCAAGAACGTTCGTGCGCTGAAATTGCACACGTTGTTGCTTTTGGACACGTTGGTGAAGAAACAGTACACCAAGGGCTTGAGACCGGAGTCTTTGCAGGCAGTGATGCAAGAGTTGCCAGCATTGATCAACGAGTCGGATTTGCATATTGCGCAGCTCACTTTGACTCTGTTGACATCTATTGGAGCCGAGAGCAAATCATCTTTGGTTGACATCGATCGACTAGGGATTTTGAATGAGGTTCGAAACCTGCTCAAGTCTCCTTTGCTGCAAGGTGAGAAATTAGTTCAGTTGGTGTAAATTTTGAAACTTGATGATTTTTTTCAATGTTCCCTGTCCATTCAAGCAAGAATGGCTTTTATTTGGCGCTTTTCTGTTTTAAAATGGCTCTCATTTCGCTTTACGCATTGAGAATGACCGAATATTTTAAAAATTGGAGGTAGTCATGTGTACATCCTGGGATTGAGTATAATGTGTGACAAGGAAGTCCCGTATCATTATTCGTTTTCATGGGTATGATTTTAAGGAGCACCGTTGGAGTCGATGTTGGGTTTCTTCAGAGCGCTAGTCGCTGCTCAACTTCCTGGCCTAGGCTTCAAGGAACTCCTGCATTCGTTGCTGACGTTTGTTCACAGCCCCTCCACGCATTTGAATCGACAGGTGAGTCATTCAAAATGTGTGTAGCTCAGAAACAATTTCTGTCTACTGATTTGTTTCGTTTACCTTTTTTTTCTCAAGGCGAATCATTCGGTGGCCAAGTGTGTATCTGCTTTGGTGGCTGAAAGACCGAGTGAAGCTTTGGCAGTTGTAAATCATTTGCTGCATGACGTGCAGACGAATCCCAGTGACAGCATTAAAGTGTTTTCTGTTTTGGCTCTGGGAGAAATCGGGAGACAAATGTGAGTTGCTTGGTTTTTTAAACTTTCTTTGCTGAAACTTTTCTGTACGACGAACGAAAATGGATCATTCTAGGCAGAATTACTTTTGATGATTTGGTTGGTCTGTAAGGAACGTTCAGTATTCGTTGTGTTGGGGTGAATTCCGTGTAGAATGAATTTTTGTTGAGACTCAGCACTTGATTCACTTCGTTGCTTTTCCGAACTTCGATCTTACGCGATGTAAAAATGTTCGAATGAGGACAAAACCTTTTTCAATGCCTGAAAGTGTTCATTTTATCACAATTACCATGGTTTTATTATGAAATTCGTAACTCTTAAGCAATGATCACTGTTGTTGATCAATTTGAAAGGGAGGCTATTATTTAGTTTGTACGAAATTTAAATGGACATGTTTTACGAATTATTGTATTTGAATGTATTTTGCAGGGATCTGACGGGTGTGCAAGGCGTGAGAGCGACGTTGCTCGATAACTTGAGTGCCAATTCCGAAGAGGTCAAATCAGCAGCTTCTCACGCTTTGGGCTTGTCAAGTTTGGCAAACCTCAACGCTAGTGTTCCATTTTTGCTTGCCGAAATCCAAGGAGGATCAAAGCGACAATACCTTCTGCTTCATGCTCTCAAAGAGGTATTCGTTTTATTTTCAACAGTATTATTATTATTTTTTTAATTGATGGTAAATCGTGTGGCTCATTGCCGGAGAAGCTTGACCGGGATTTTGGCTGAGATGGTCTCAAAATTCCGCATTCAAATTTATTGAGCCTATAGCGAAAGAAAAAACGCAGTTCGGTGTCTCGAACGTTTTGCCTTCTTATTTTTCAAAGTGGCGGACGGTCAAAGTTGATCTGCGTACATGAATGAAGTCAGTCAGTTTGAATTGCTATGCAAAACGCTTGGTTGCCCTTGTGTAAACATTTTTAATGGTGTGTGGGTGTGAGATTAAGCACACCGTTTAATGGGTAATTTTTTATAGTGATATTCGGTCATTATGATTGAAGTAAATCGACTCGCTGACAATCCGAGCTATCATGGTACTGTGCTGTATTCGAACGTTGCCAGGCGTAATAATGGAGGGATTACGCAAGGTATCAGCTTCAAGCGATGGCACTAATTACGAGGTTCATTCAATGGGAATGCTTGCTCAATTCCGCGTCGGAAATCATCGTTTATCTTTTCTGTTGAGCAATCGATTTTCGTGCAGTATTTAGGATTCCGTAATTGATAATTGCGACTCCGGTCCTGACAAAAGAAAATAATAATTGTAGCCTTAGGTTTATTGAAATTTATGTACCATTCCTGTAGTTTGATTTTTGGCTTTCTTTCTGATTTTTTTTTGTCGTAACATTTGACTACTTCGCCTTCTCTTAATTTTTTTTGTCGCTTGCATTTTTTAAAATCTTCGTGTCAATTTTATCTTTGTATGGGTTTTTTCTTTGCATTGTTCAGTGATTTTCGTTTTTCTTTGCGTCAATTGTTCGTGTTTTCATGTTATTTTCGAAAGGAATCTATTCCGTGAGTGATCAGTTCTAAATCCTTGATGGATAGAAGTCAGAGAAAAGGAGTCTGTCTTTTATCGAATTTATAACTTATATGTAAAGTATTTTTTACTCGGAGAAACTTAGAAAAATTAAAACTGCTTCCAAATTGGAAAGCAGGGTATCAGAAAAGTTGTTCATGAAGTATACAACAGTCAAGAAGTAACAGTAGTCAAAAGCTGATTAGAATTTGAAGTACTTTAGAAAACTCGGCTTTAATATTATTTTAGCCATTTCTTTTTGGAATTTTTCTTGGTTTTTTTCCATTTAGTTTTTGAATTATTCATGAAACTTGGCGAGCCTTTTTTTTATTTTTCCTCAACTGTAATGTTCTTTATGTTGTTGAAACAGGTGATCGTGAATCAAAGTGCGACGGCAGAAGGCGTGGCTGCGTTACGGCCGTTTGTTGGCGACGTCTGGGCACTTTTGTTTGCCCACGCAGAAACTTCTGAAGAAGGCATGAGGAATGTTGTTGCAGAATGTTTGGGAAGGTTGACATTGTCGGAGCCTGCGGATTTGCTGCCGAGGCTCAAAGAGCAGCTGATGCATTCGAATGCGTTTATGAGAAGCACAGTTATTACTGCGATCAAATTCACCATTTCCGACCAGGTTTTGATTTTCTCATGTCCTTAATTTGAATATTGACTTGACTTCATTCGTTTTTTTTCAGCCGCAAAGAATTGATCCGTTGTTGAAGCAGCATTTGGGAGATTTCATGGCTGCTTTAGATGACGAGAATTTGGCAGTGAGGAGAGTGGCATTAGTTGCTTTCAACTCTGCAGCTCACAACAAGCCTATGCTTGTGAGGGATCTGTTGTCGGACTTGTTATCCCGACTCTACAGAGAGACGAACATTCGAGTGAGTGATTTTTTTTCTGTTCTGCCGAATGTTGTGACTACATTTCAAATTATTTCATTTATTTTCACTAGCCTGAACTGATCAGAGAAGTTGAGATGGGGCCATTCAAGCACACGGTGGATGATGGACTGGATTTGCGAAAAGCTGCGTTTGAATGCATGTACACTCTGCTGGATTCTGCAGTTCTTCTCCCGAGCCTGGACTTGGACACGTTTCTGGATCGTGTGGACTCCGGGCTCAGGGACCATCATGATATAAAAATGCTGTCTTATTTGATGTTGTCGCGACTGGCAACCCTGGCACCGCATACAATGCTAGCTAGTGAGGGATTTTATTTTTTTTTTAAAAGGGTTCTCGGGTCGCTTTAATGTATTAATGATTTGCATGATTTTTCTCTCCAGGGTTGGATAAGTTGGTGGAGCCCTTGAAGACAACTTGTGTATCCAAGGCTAGGGCATTGTCTGTGAAGCAAGAGAGTGAGAAGTTGGATGAGCTCAAGAGAGCTGCGCTTAGGGTTGTTGTTGCTCTGCAAGGCATTCATGATGCTGGTGAGTTTTTTATAATTACGAAAAGTTCAAAACTGTATACTGTATCGTGTTCGTGAAAAACTTCGGAATAATTTTTTTTAAACCCGTTGAAGCACCTTGTTTACTTCAAGTGCCACTCGCACCTTTTTTCTTCCAATTGAGAGGAAAATAGTGGTTGCGTTTTACAGGGCAGGAATGACATTTCCCAAAATATCAGTTTTTTGTTGAACAGAACAGTTAAAAAGTATGTGAATTCAGGTTTTATTAATTTCCATGTTTTTTTGCTGGTGTCTTTATTATTATTTTTTAGTTCCAGTTTTTTTATGAATAAAGTGAAGTGCTAATCTTACTCCATTATGGAGTTCCATCAAGTTTTTAGGGTGAAAAATTGGAGTGTGTCTTACTGGAGGGTGTGTGGGTACTTGAGTAAATACAGTGATTCTGAAAAAGTGGGCAATATATAAACCATTATAAAGAAAACCTAATCCTTGAGGACATTGGTCATTGGAGAGACTTTCTGTGTCAAGCATGGAACAGTACTTTATAGTCACTCCAAAAACGGAGATGACATCTATTAAGCCTTTTACAAATAAAAACTTTATCCTTGAGGATGTTTGGCATTGAAGGAAACAAGCGTTTGGGAACTGTTGAGGTGTCGCCTAGATTGGCCAGTTGTACCCAGTAGTGAAATATCACCTATATCATGTATTAACATTAAGTCATGTAACACTTCTAATACATTTTGTTTCAAAGACTTTGTAGAGGCTTTGTGAATAACTTCGTTTCCTGAAAGATCCTATAACTTTTTTTTTATTGAATGTAAATTATCAATTGTGGTTTTTCTTGAATCTTCCAGATAAAAATCCACATTTGAACGATTTCATGAGCGTGATCCTGTCTGCGAAAGAACTGAAAGCCCTGTACGATTCTGTGCAAAACGACGCTGGAGCAGTTGGCAACTCGGGAAATTCCGGAGCCTCCATTTGGGTGAACGAAATGGACGCGAATTGAAGAAGATGATGATGGAAACACGTTGTTCGGGATTTACGAGTGTTTTTCCCCACGCTCCCAGCCTACCATAAATTTCTCCTCCCCTTTTTGTGCAAATTGAATGAGTGTGGAGAGAACTGGCAGAAGGCGCATTATTGCTTGCAGGGGGATGAGAGTTTCAATAAACGCTGGAAGCATGTTTTTTTCAATATTTTCCTCTTCGTTTTCTTTGATTAATCTCATTTTAGCGCTTTGTTTTTCAATTATTGAACTATTCAAAATCTGCCTTGTCACAAGAAATTTGTCATGCTTTTCAGGGTCAAGATGTTCTCTTTGTTGCTCCAACTTGTCCTGGTGCTACAAGTGATAGCTTGTCTTTGTTTTTGTGGTGTTGTGCTTGTTGCCTGGTCAGTTTATCTAAACAAAATCCGCAATTCGAAAAGCTTCTCAAAACTAAATGGTCGACATGTGATGGTGAGTGGATTTCTTCTGAGTTTTCGGGAAAAATGTAGTGTACTATAATGTAGTATATTTGGATGCTGTTTTAGATAACTGGGGGTTCCAGTGGGATTGGCCTCAGTCTTGCCAAGATTGCTGTGAATCATGGAGCCAGTGTGTCTTTGTTCGCAAGAGATGAGAAAAAGCTGAGAGAGGCAAAAGATTTTCTTGAGAAATCCAGAAAGTTGCAAACCAGTAAAATCTTCACGTATTCTGGTAATCAACTCAAGCGCAGCTCTTTCAAAGTATTTCCTAAGTATCTTGTCCTTGTTTTTCTAGTTGATGTTTCATCAGGCTTTGAAGCTGTCAAGTCAGCTGTTGCGCAAGCTGAGGAGGCGCTTGGCAACACTTACATGCTCATCAACTGTGCTGGCTATTGTTTCAGTGAAGTGTTTGAGAAAATCCCCATGGAGCAGTTTGAGAGAATGATGAGTGTCAACTACCTGGGCTCTGTGTATTTTAGTAGAGCTGTGGTTCAGAAAATGAAGGCAGAAGGGATGGGCTCCATCACTTTCGTTTCTTCTCAAGCTGGCATCATGGGTCTCTATGGGTTCACTGGATATTCAGCTAGCAAATTTGCATTGCGTGGTTTGGCTGAATCTTTGTACATGGAGGTTAGAAATATTTTGAAGCTGTTCAATAACTTCCAGTTTTTTTTTGCTGATAATTATTTCCAAGATTATTTCTTTGGTATTTTTGTGGGGCACGATCACCATATTAACATGTAAAAGATTTGCAGCTTTTAATCTTGATGAAATCTCAATTATCCCATCTCCAAGTAAGAAGCACACCATATTTTAGTGACTGAAAAACTGCAATTTATGCTCTGCCTCTTATTATGTCAATACTGTAATAAGAGGCATAGCATTCATTTAAATTTATTATGGATTGAACTTGCATTCAATTAATTCTCAATTTTTTTGTTAGTTTTCTTGTCAGAATTGATCCCACATATCACATTGAAATCACATGTATCTCTCCCAATTCTGAGTAAAAATGTGCATATTCGAGTAGATGTGGTACTGTACTTAAGGTGTTCTGCTGCAAATCCTAGGCGCAACTTCAAATTTATTTTCAAATCTTGAAAGAATAATCTCTCGTGTCTGCAGTTGAAGCCTTATGGAGTTGGAGTGACTTTCAGCATGCCTCCAGATACAGATACACCAGGCTTGGTTGCTGAAAATGTGACCAAACCTGCTGCAACCAAGGAAATATCTGCAGGATCAGGACTTTCTTCACCTGAACAAGTGGCTGATAAAATCCTGAAAGATGCTGTTGGAGGAGTTTTTCTATCATGTCATGGCTTGGAAGGGCATCTTCTGGGCATACTCTGTAGTGGCATGGCACCAGCCTTGTCTGTTATTGAGCTTCTTGGGCAGGTAAGAAAGCTTCGTAATTTATCAATTACTGAAGTTTCAGTTCTGTGTATTGTTGATTCATTTCAGGCTTGCTGCATAGGAATCATCAGACTGAGCACTCTGTTCTTCAGATTGAAGTTTGACTCAATCGTTGGGAAGTATTGTGCAGAAGATTCCAAAGAAAAGACAAAGCAGAAGAACCTTTGATGGGCATGAATGAGGTTTTCTGTGAGCTTTGTATACATTCAATATTATGTGGTGAAATATTCGAGGCAGTGGTTATTTTCAGTGTTCGTGGTCTTCTGTTGAGTAAAATCTCACAAATGAAATATGTCGTGCTGGTTGCTTCCTATTTTCAATGACGCTCTGTGGAAAGATAAAACATGTCTGCGCTTTCTTGTTCCTGAGGTCGTCAGTGAAAAAGTTCAGAATGCGGCTTGTTTTCGTATCTAATTGAAAGCCACGTAACATAACGCGCGTTGACACTTTTCGAAGGCGTGTATCAAGCAAAATGCATTCTCATTTGTGAAGGTGCTGTGAGATCGATTGGCTGTGAAGCGGAAATAATTAAAAGGAGTACCACGCGTCGTCAATGCAGGATATATCCAGCGATGGATCCGTGGAGAATTACGAAGTACAGTACTTGCATATATCCCCCCAGCCTTCTGCCATTCATGACATAATTTTGGTTTGAATCAGGATGAGGACCCCTCCGGAGATTTCATTCTTCAGCAAGTTATTCAAGCGTTGATCGAAGACATCGGGAAAGCTCTCTGTGAACATGGGCATTGTGAGTGGTTCTATTCTCCTTACTGTTCTACCTGTGGCCGAGTTTCGAATATCCCGTAGAAAAAATAAATAATAGATCCATAGTAGAGGCCCTTAAGTGAAGCTTACCGCGAGTTTGAGTCGCTTCGGAAGACGACGAGTGTATATCCTATCGAATGACGTGTCCATTTCGAAGACGTGATTGAATTCTACAATCGACAGTCGGACTTTGTCAAGCCCAAGTGGCGCACCTGGAAATGCTACTCCGAGAACGCGAGGACCTCGATGGCCCAGGTCCAGTCGTCCGCGCAGTTTCCATAGTAGAAAAGAAGGGCGTGACTCGAATCACTTCCCCGCAACTCAACCTCCTCTACAAGGTGATGGACGAATTCCCGTCCGGGCCCGGGCCGTCTTCTCGGATCCACTACGTGGCCAGAACCATCAAATTCTGTGATTGCGACCGGTTCTTCCGTAACATCCTGCTCATCTCGCCGCCATTGCATGTTTGTGAGCACATTTTAGCCGTGCACCTCGCCACTGTGGCGGAAAGAACGGAATTCATGCATGAAGTGACTATGGAAAACGACGCAGTGGTTGAGATGATCGTGGAGTTGTTCTCCGGCGGCGGAGAGAATTAAATCCAATCCATGCGTTGTTTTTGTTCGTCTCCGGGTCTGTGATTTCTAAGCGTAATTTGATTGCTCATTTATTTGTAAAACTGATCCCTTCCATGATGGAGAAGGGCCTTTTTTTGTCCGCCGCATTGTATAAAATCGAGTAAGTTCAAAAACCTGTGTATACTTCATGCTGATCAGTTGTGATGGTATGTTAGAGTATTAATTATTTTGCTGTGTAGGCTTCGTCGCCGTGTGATCATGAAATTATTCGGAATCGTGCTGTGCTTCGCGGTGGTTTTCGCTGCTGAAGAAAAAGGACCGAAGGTGACGGAGAAGGTAAGTTTTGCATGTTTTCTTGGTGGAAATCGTTTCGACTTATTGAGTTTTCTTCTATGTGAAAAGGTGTGGTTCGACATCACGATTGGTGGTGAGCCTGCTGGTCGGGTTGAGATCGGCCTTTTTGGAAAAACTGTGCCGAAAACCGTTCGAAATTTCAAGGAACTTGCTGAGAAGCCAGAGGGCGAGGGTTTCAAAGGATCTTCTTTCCATCGAGTCATTAAGGATTTCATGATTCAGGGTGGCGATTTCACGAAAGGTTAGACTGATTCTCCTTTCTCTGATATTTTACTTGATTATTTGTGTTCGATAAGTGTTACAGTACTGATTTTATCAATGTTTTCGTTAGGTGATGGAACCGGTGGACGAAGCATTTACGGAGATCGTTTCGAAGATGAGAATTTCAAATTGAAGCATTACGGGGCTGGTTGGTTGTCTATGGCAAATGCTGGTCGTGATACGAATGGTTCTCAATTCTTCATCACCACGAAAGCAACTTCATGGCTTGATGGTCGACACGTTGTCTTCGGAAAAGTGCTCAAAGGAATGGTGAGTGAAGAATATTACTTCTGAAATTCTGTTATGACAAGCTTTCCTTTCAACCAACTCATCAGGAAAACGGGAAGTATTTCCTTCAGGTTTTGTTTTGTTCACGTGATACTCTCCTCATCCTAATATCAGAGGTCTCCCGAATAAAATGTTCTAGTCTGAATATTCTTGGAAACAATGCATTAAAAGCGTCCCTAGCTCGAAGGTTCTCTCCCTCAAAACCTCATTAACTCGAATTTTCTGGGGGCTCTCTGGCAGTCATTTTATTGACACAGGGAAGAGAAAAACAATTTAATGTAACCCGATGTGCTTTTAAAGGAAGTGTCTGACTAATCAGGCGAATAAACCCTTGCCTCCTAGTTCAGCTCCCTGTCAACTCATTTAAAACTCTAATTGAAGACCGAAATATCACGAATTACAATATCCTGTACAATAAATCGTCTTGCTTTTCCTCGACAAGAACGCGTTTTTCTCTTAAATCGAAACCTCCCTGAGTCTAATTTTTTTTTTTCTGATCCCTTGAAGTTCGACTGCATTGAATCTTCAATGCATCCTTCTTTTATTGGAATGAGTTTTCCGTCATCGAAAAAAAAAACGAAGATATAATCGCTGAAAATTTTCCACCTTGCGATGAATTTGTGATGAACAATTTTTTTTATTTTTCAGGATATTGTGAGGAAGATTGAAGCTTCGAAAACCGATGGAAGGGACAGGCCAGTGGCTGCTGTAAAAATCGCTGATTCTGGCAGTGAAACTGTTTCCGCCCCTTTTGCTGTTGAAAAGGGCGACGCCTTGGAGTGATCTTTTTTTTTTTTTTCTTGCCTGGGAAAATTCGCATTCCCTCTTCAGCATTAAGAAATTTGTCGATCCTCTCTTGTTATGGTTTGAAAATTACACATTTGTTTGGGTTGGAGTGAAATTGACTTGGTCTCGTATATTTTTCGAACGTGGACATTGAAGAAAGGTGTCGCAGCTGAGTCGGTGTCGATTCCTGATACTCATGTCCTACATCGAAAGCCGGTTTGCGAGTTTTTGCTGGAGACTGTTCGGTTTTTTGCAGCAAATCGCACCTGAGCTTACAGTGATACGAATTTGGAAAAAAGAAAAGATAGAAATTATCCACTGTGAATTTTTGAACGTGATCCGTAATGGGAAATCTATCTTCTTTCTGGTTTTAAGGCATGGAAGTGTGTTAGTGTAGTTTTGTAGTTATGTTTTCGGCTATCAAGAAGCTCGCTAGTAAAGGAGACTCAAGTTCCAGCAACCATGTGCCTCAAGGACTGCAGGCAATGCCGCACTCCTTACAAAAGAAATTCGCCAAAGGAGTTCAGTACAACAGTGAGCTCATTTTTTCTAAAAAAAAAAAAAAAAAAAAAGCTTTTCAAGTTTACATCTAGCGTTTTGTGAATATTACAGTGAAAATTGTCATCAAAGGTGACAGAAATGTTGGGAAAAGTTGTCTCTTCCAAAGACTACAAGGTGGGAAGTTTTCTGAGGATTACGTGCCTACTGAGGAAATTCAGGTTGGTGATTTAAAAAATGATTACTTTTTCACTCAACCGTATGTGGACCGCAAATTTCACTTCGGTTCCCCGAAAGTACAGTTGTTCATTTACAATATTAACTTGTGCGAAAAATTCGGTGAGAAAAATGCTGATGTGTTTCGTACAGATGTATGTGAATTTACGACTCGTTCATAGAAATTTTTGTTAAAAATTTAACCTGCAAATACAGAGGAGTTATGTTCTGCAAAACTAACAGCGCAACTTTAATGTTGGTCATATTAGGATAATATTTATTTTTGAAATTATGCAATAATTGAAACTGAATTTTGACGATCCTAATTCATACTGAAGCCTCAAATCGTTCCTGTTGAACAGAAAATCGCAATTCAAATGGATGCAGTTGAATGGCCCGCATGTCGAAATTAAATCGATTCCAAAAGAACAGGTCATGTATGAATATGTCACAGTTTTTGTTGAATGTTCGAAGAGGAGCAGAGTTTTGATATAATTTAATCATGGCAACTGGTTGTGGTGTAACTTTCTAGTGATTTTCTCTGCAATTATAATTTGTAATATTTTCTCCCAAGGTGACAAGTGTTCAGTGGAGCTACAAGACAACAGACGATGTGGTCAAAGTCGAGGTTTGGGACGTCGTAGACAAGGGCAAAAAGAAGAAGAAATCCGCTGCATTAAAGCTCAACAATTTGCCAAATTGCGCTGATGGCCCAGATGAAGAAATAGCTCTTGATGCGGAATTCCTGGATGTGTATAAGGGAGCCCATGGTGTCATCTTTGTGTTTGATATCACCAAGTCTTGGACTTGGGATTATGTCAAGAGGGAATTGCTGAATGTTCCTTCGCATTTGCCTGTGTTGTTGCTGGGGAACCACAGGGACATGGGGCACCACAGGACGGTCACCTTGGATCAGATGCAGTTTTATGCTGATCATGAGGTGGACAGGTTTGTCCCTTTTTATTTATTCTTTATGAGAATCCTTATTTTATTATCTGATATTTTGACTCAGTTGGAAAGAAACAACTTTGAGTCTGACTCAAGTATAATTAATTTTTGAGGTGGAAATAGATTTTTGCCAGGGTGTTCACAGAGTAAACATGTTCTTTTTTAGGACGAGCCAGTGTAAATGTACAGTATTTTTTGTGCAACACTGTTTTAAAGGATAACCAGACCAACAATGAGTAGCTGAGAAAATGTATGTTCACCTTTCAATAATTTGTGCATAGAGTCATGACATCGATCGGCTTGATGCATATAGCTGGGCAACTGAAGTTATGAAAGTAAAAAATATGATCACATCAATACTGGTATTGAACATATGTGCTAGGACAGTGAAGAATATCTCTGATGACAATGCATTGATTGGTTTAATTTTTTTTTGCAGAGGTGAAAAAGGAGTGAATGTGAGATGCGCAGAAGCTTCCATGAGAAATGGTTTTGGTCTGAAGTTTGTCCACAAATTCTTCAACCTTCCATTTCTGACTCTCCAAAAAGAAACTCTGCTGAAGCAACTAGAGTTGAATGCCAGGGACATTGATTCCACTCTCCAAGAGTTGGACCTTGTCAGGGAAAGTGATGAGTTCAACTATGACATGTAAGTTTTGGAATATGTGTTCCTAATTTAGGTATGTGTTACATCATCCCTCTTTCTTTTTTTAATGACTTCCCAGGTTCCTTGATAAAGTGACAGCAGTCAGGAGGAAGATTGCTGAAGCACAGGCTCCACCAGTGTCTCCATGTGTTCCAGATGCAGTTGCTGTGAGTCAGGATCACCTTCCAGGTGCCAAAGTTCCCAATCCAAAGCCTCCTCTGCCTAAAGGACCAATTGGTGGAGGAACTCTCATTCCAGACAGAAGTCTTCTAGGTGGTGAGTACAGATTATATTTCTTCACACCATGTAATCCTTATTTTCTCCAAAAATGTGTGTCTACAAAAGATGATTTTTAGGATTGGAAAAATCTGGGGAAAGGATACATTAAGCTTTTTTTCTTTCTTGAAGAGATTAACTGAAGTTACAAGTGAACCATAGGTACACACCATTTTGAGGCAGCATGCAATATCTACTGAATCCGTCCTTCTTTCTATCACCGGTGATTGTATTCAACGCGCAGTGTTGTGAATAGGAAATTGTTGTGCAATTATCCCACCGTGCTTGTTTAGAGACAGCATGCGACATCTACTGAATCTGTGCTTCTTTCCATACCCAGTGACTGGATCGAAAGTGCTTTATTGTACGGTGAATTGTTGTGCAATTATCCCACCTTGCTTGTTTTAAGACAGCATGCGGCATCTACTGAATTTGTGCTTATTTTATTCCCATTGACTGTTGTGAAGGTGCTCTATTGTATTCTGAATTTTTTATGCAGTTAACAAACCTTGCTTGTTTCTAGACAGCATGCGACATCTCTTGGAAACGCGTTGTTGTTTATGAGAGATTGTATCCCGCAAATATCCAACCTTCCGTGATTTGAGACAGCGAGTGGCATATACTGAGTGCATGCTGATATTTATACCCCAGTGACCGTATTGAAAACGCATTTTTGTGAATTGGAAATTTTTGTGCAATTATCACACTTTGTTCGGTTTGAGACTGCGAGCCACATCTATTGAGTGCGTGCTTCTCTTCATACCCAATTGACCGTATTGCGAATGCTTTATCGTATAGTTGAGTTTTGTGCATTTATTCCACCTTGCTTGTTTTGAGACAGCATGGGGCATCTACAAAGTGCATGTATCTTTATCTCTCTATAGTGAACGCACTGAAAACGCATTGTCTTGTGTATTGAAAATTGTTATGCAATTGTTGCACCTTGCTTGATTTTTGAGACAGCATGCGACATCTGCTTGCTTTTTTTAGCCAGAGTGACTGTATTGAAAACGCTTTATTATATTGGGAATTATTACGCAATTATGCCACCTTGCTCGATTTTTTTTAGATAGCAAGCGACATCTACTGAGTGCGTGAGTGCTTCTTTCTATCCTCGGTGGCTGTATTGAAAACGCTTTATTGTACATAAAATGGGGAATTGTTGTGCCATTATCCAACTTGCCTGTTTTGAGATAGCGTGTGAAATCCACTGAGTGCTTGAGTGCTTCTTTGTATCCTTGGTGACTGCATCAAAATGCTTCATTGTTTGGTGAATTGTTGTGCAATTATCCCACCCCGCTAGCTTTGAGACTGCATGCGACATCTACTGAGTGCGTGCTTTTTTATACTCCCAATGACAGGTAGGCTCTCTCTGCAACGAAATTTCAAGGGACCAGAAAAAAATTCGTTGTTCAGAGAAAATCATTGTATGCTAGATCATTACTAAGAAAGTGGCAAGTCTTATATATTCAATTGCTGGCTTTTGTTTCAGGTGCTCTCCAAGAGCAAAAGAGGAAGCAACAAGCAGCTCTTGCGGATTCCAAACCGTCTGAACCAGTGGTGACTGAAGTCAAGAAACCAGTTGATGTCGCAGATGGAAGCAAAGGATTATTTTCCGGTTTTTTCGCCAATCGAGAAAAGAAGGCTTCAGATGCGGGGAAAGTGGTAGGTGTTGAAGTAGTCATTCAGGCCACTGGAGAAGCGATTTCCGTGGCTGATTTCAAACCCGACAGCGGGGGTATTGAAGGGTTCTTGGACGACGACGATGACGGGTTTGCTCTTGAAGGCGACAAAATACAAGATTCCAGGTTAGGAAAACGATTCAGTTCATTCTCTGCAAATATTTTCTTCGATTTCAAGACGTATTTTTGAAAATTCTCGCTCATCGAAATTTTCAATTTCAACCTTGCTGAGTTGAAATTACCATCAGAACTGAAATCGCATGCATTTATGTGCTGAAATTAAACGTGCCGAAGCCTTTTGCAGAATTTTTCTCTGTAAAGTTGAGTGCGTGATAATTTCGAAAATAAATTACTGCATTTGAATGTCACCGTAGTACTAGATTAAACAACACATACTCGTAACAAAAAGGGATAGAAAATTAGTTCCTACACGGTCAACTTTTTATGACATCAACCTTAACAATTAGATGCATTTTCTCAGGTTAACATGAGGCACCTTCCAATTATTTATGCTGAGTGCACAGTTTTAATGCCATTTAATAAATTCCTTCATCCACTCTGTTCAATATATTTCCGAGAATACCATCGAACGACGTTATATCTTATCCTCCGCAATAAGTACAAGCTCTTATCAAATTCGCGAAAATTGCTAATCTTTTTTTCCAGTGACGAAGATGAGAAAGACCAGCGCCCGATTGTAGCGGATCTCCAAGACGATTTGGCATCGGAAGATGAAGCTATTCTCGCGAATCCTCAAGCCATAGTTGAGAACGTATCCCGAGAACCCGTACCCGAACCCGCGGAATCTCCTTCGAAACCCGAAGAAACCTCTGTACCTGAAGCCCCTCCCATCGTCTTCACTCTCAACGTGGATGATTTGCAAGCTTTAGAAGCCCCTCTGGAGAACTTGGATGCGGAAAAAAAGAAGTCTGGTAAAGAGAAGAAGAGTAAAGGAACTAAAAAGAAGAAAAAGAAGAGTAAAGTGAAGGAAGAGAGTGATTCAGAAGTGGCAACAACTGGTGATAGTGCGTCGACGAGGGACATGTATGAAGAGCTGGAGGATTTTCTCAATGATTGAAAATTACTAAGAGAAGAAAAAAGGGAAATATGTGATAGAGTGATGATTTAATTGTATGAATCGAAGTTTACTCATGTGCTAACGGTGGCTGCGTGCTCACTTATACTCTGTTCCTTTTTTTTTTCTGAAAGAAATCGAGTTCAGAGTCTTCATGTGAATAAGGCAAAGAATACAGTACTTACGAGGGGGTGATGCGGTGATTTTGTTGACAAATGAAAATGAAGGATTCAACAGTTGTTGCCTGAGTTGTTTTCGTAAAATTGATTCCATTTTTAACTTTTATCAAAATACTGCATCCGAACATGCAACACTGATGCGAGTAAAATTTTTAGGCAACTTCAAATAAATATCTACCAAGAATTTCGCAAGATCTTAGCTGAATTGAGAATTCAATATGAGCAAATGAAGGTGGTACAGGAAGCAAATATTTTACCCTTATTTCTGAAAAGAAAAATTTAAAGTGTGCAAATTAAAATTGCGGCTTGAAAGAGACTTCTCTTTGCAAAGAGAATGTGGTGCATCTTCCCTTTTTTGGTGAGTACCTTTCAAGAAAATTTCTACAACCCGTCATTCTATTTTGAAAATTTGCGTATTGTAAATACGAAATAGTATTGTGTCATAATAGTACATTTTCTTGTCCTCTGGCCAATTATCTTCCATTTTGAATTGATAGATGTTCCCATCACATCTTGGCTTTCATCCATTTTCTCTTGGGTTTCTCTCCTTCATGAGAACTTTCAAGTCCAGTGAAGTGTTTGTTGGGTCACTTGGAACAAGGGACAAGTGTTGTTTTATAAAAAATGCGCAGTGAATTAATTTCAAATAAGTTGTTGCTGTATTGTTCAAAGATCTGATAACACATTTGTTATGAGCAATAATTTGTTATAACTAGACTTAACAGTAAGACCTGAGTGTAACATGAAGTTGAACTAGACAATTGCATGTTTCTGAGAACCTTCAGTACAATACTTAACAATCCGTTCAAGAAGAGAATTTCATGTGAAAGTGCTTGACTGCAGAATTAACAATAAATTTCAAATGAGATGACCAGAGGATTTCCAGAAAAAAGGTGATGAGGGCAGCTGTAAAGCCCATGGCACTGACTGCAAAGGCGCCTTGAATATCATAAACACCAAGTGTCCTGTTATCAGCTGCATCTTTTGAGGACTTTTTGCATCTTCCACTTTCCCTGGGCCAATACATTGTCTTCCATTTCTCTGTCAGTCCATTCTCCAGTAGTCGCAGAATTCTGGTGGAATGACATGGAGAAAAGCGACATCTGTGATTGTGTGGCTTCATATTGTCAACTTCAACAGTATTTTAGCCTTTTTCAATATAGAGGCATTTACTCTTCTGAATTTTCCCAAAGTCAACTTGAAGAATAATTTCTTGAAAGTTGTTGGTGAACATGAAAAATATGCCATTTGATCTTGAAGTTTTAAAAATGGTATGTCCCTTGAAAGTGACATTATGTCAGTGGAGTGAAAAGCTGACTCACTCATGATTGAAGTAATAAAGATAAGGTGCACCCTGAGGCAATGCCAGACCAAAGCCAGCAACAAAGAACTGCTCTCTGGCCAAGTGTAGTCTGCACTGCTGTGACTGGACTTCATCAGCTGCAATGGCAAAGTCCAGAAAAGACCTCTCCTGCCAATCAGAATTTTTACAAAAAATGGCAATGAACCATCTTAAAAATGATGAAATATATTTAAGGCTTAATATTGTCTTGAGGGATTCATACCTTGATGAAAGCATATTGACCAGTGAGTACCCTCTCAACCCCTTCTTCATTTGTGCTGCACATCACTCCAGGCTTAGCTCTGATAAGGTCTCCAATCTTCTTGTATACCCCAGATGTCGCTCCCTGCAGTGCATAACACTGAAATGTGAATAATGTTTTCTACTGGTCTATATTTAACTGCTGTACTTCAAAAAGGGTCTGATGAGAGGTTCCTTTCCTAAATGTCCACAAGATGTCCTTCTGGTTAGCCAGCTGTTCTAGAGACTCAATCCCTGGCAACAATGTGGGTACACTAAGAACTGCTACCAGGGAACCATTGTATGCTGCTGCCAGGACAAACCCAGCTATCAAGGGGAATGTGAGACCCAGGCGCAGCCATGTTTGTCTTGGATTCCTTTCTGATCCTACATAAATAAAATTCATGTCTATGTGTTTAAGGTACTTTTCAATCCATGTGACACTTATTTTAAATAAAAGTTATTAACTTACACTCAGATTGCAGAAGCACATGTAGATCAATGTTTTAGTTCACTTAAATGAAAGCCATTATTTCAAATGCTGTACAATTTAAAAGTGAATTTTTCATGGCAGGATATTCATAGAAAGATCTGAAGGTAAGGTAAAGTTGAATATCTCATCAGAAATAATACTCACCCAGAAAAATGTAAGTGACCCAAAAGTAGTCCAGAGAATTCATGAACCTGGCATCATAAGCCACATCTTCACTACATGGGTGAATCTTCCTTGCCAGAACATTGAGAGCTTTGAAGGTGTATCCAGATACCACCATTAATGCCAGTGTTCCCAACCATACCTTTTCAGCAAAATATGCCATTTTCCTCACAGGAATCAATTATTGAATTCAATGAATTACATACATGAGCAGTCAAAGGCCTGAAGACTGAGAAAAGTTTTGACTTTTCCTGAGGAGGTGGGACTAGTATGGCTGTGGGTTCAATATAATAAGGGAATGTGAAGTCAACAACAGATTCTCTGACTTGAGTGATGGTAAAACCTGCTGCTCCAATTTCAGCATCCTTAAGTGTATGTGAAGAAATTTATATAAAATAAAGATAGATGTATTATTCATATATTTTTTTCAATATCTCACCCCTGCTAACATCTGGCCAATCATGCCATCCCATCCCTTGGTAGTTGGGGTACCAAAGTTACCATCCTTAGAAATGACTGTTGTGTAGCTGTTCATGCACAGAAAAACCAATTGCACAAATGTTACCCTTTGGTAAACCTAAGGTAGGTCTTTTTTTAGGTAAGAATGGACCATAATTAGAATGAGTCCTACGAAACCTATTAAAGGTACTGTTTCGGTCAATGATAGTGAAAAGGTGGTCTCCAACTATGGGTGAGTGTTAATGGAGGTCTCTGATGGAAATTAAAATGATGTGTCCCAGTGTTTCATAATATTGGTCTTTATGATGGACTTACATGAATGGATATCAGACTTAAACTCTTGTTTGCTATTTGGCCTTTTCCACTGTTGATCAGAAAGGTTTCTGAGGCTGAAACTGCAGCATAGGTTGTTCTCAGGGAGTCTTTGAATCTCCATGCCATGTTTTTGCAATCCTGGAGTATCATTTCAGCTGAGAATCTGCATTTTGAAAAGAGGGTAAAATTATTGATGCACTTTCTAAGAACATTGAAGATTATGCTCACTTTGGTTCTGTGGAATTAAACAAGATTTGGCTCCTGACTAAATGACTTCTCCATGAAAACTGTGTCCAGTGCCTCATCAAAAGCCTCAGACAGGTTTCCTGAAAAACAGTCTATTTCTCTTACATTAAAGATATCCTTCCCTGGGTTTTTAAAAGTGATTATTTTGATGTCTCAACTGGGATTTTATGGAGAGGGAATTTGAACCAATCCCCAGGCAATGATTCATTGGTTGAAGCATTTGATTTCAGACAAGGGATGGTTTCCACAGAAAGGGAAAGCTTTCTGTTGCCAGACTTCCCTGAGGCAGTTTTTGTAAATTTCTTGAGGTATACACTTGGTGCCACACAGTCTGAAGACACCCTGAGTAGTGAGTTATAAGTTGAGACTCTGACTGGGTCTGCTGTAGAAAAATCATGTGCTTCAAAAATGGAATTGAAAATATTTATGCATATGACAACAAACCATTTTGTGGAGGTCCTGGAAACAAGAAAAATCCCTGGTCTCCTTTGTCCTGGTCATGTAGTATACTTTGGACTAGGACAAAAGGGTACAGGAGGTCTCATAGGTTTTTTCGAGAAGGTTAGTGACCATTCAAGTTATTTCATAAAACCGGTTACCTTTTAGGATACCTTTCGTTTAGTGCGAACTACTGAAATCCTCAGAGGTATAGTGATTTCTTTCAAGCTGTATTTATTTAAAAATTCATCCTTAAATATTTTTTTTACATGAACAAATCAAGAAAATATTTATCTCACCCATTTTTGTTGCAGCTGATGGATACAATTCTGGAAATTAATTTTATAATAAACTTAGCTTGCATTGAATTTAGTCAAAATCCATTCAGTAATATTTCACCCACCTTGAGTTTCTTGTCCTGCTGAGAGTATCCAAATGGAAGAAAATGAAATGCATCTGAGCAAAAAAGGGTTTTCCATTCCTGCTTTTTTGAAAGGGAATATTTCCCCTCAGAAGATTTCAATTTTCTTCTTCAGATATTGTAACCAAGTGGCAAAGAATCCAGAGACAACAGGTGCAAAAGCCTAACCATGAGCAAGATAATACTTTGTACTCAAGTAGCAAAACACTTCTTTGCCAAACAACTGTGCCAATGATGACATCAATCATGAAGCCACACACCTTCAGCAAAAACATCAACAGCTGGTGTTTTTTTTAGCAAAGACGGATGAGGTCAGTTTAGAAACACACACTCACTCACTTGATTTAATTATTATACTGGTAGTGCACCACACTTAAACTTCCCACAGCAGTCATCAAGTATAGCAGGTGATTTTTGCATTATTCAAGGCACATTGAGGATGTAGCGAAGGTAATCATATTGAGTGTGATGAGGTTTAATTGATTTTGCCCCGTGTTTAGCCCAGTTGGAATTTTTGGACTCGATTGCGGGTGTAGGAGGCCCAGAGGAGTTCCAGGCCGAATATGGCAACACTGGCGACTATTCCAACAACTGCAATTGCAAATGCTCCTTGGACATCATCCAGGCCAAAGACCTTGATGCCTGAGTCCTGGCCCTTTTTGTTGCATCTTTGGCTCTCTTTGGGCCAGAAAGAACGCCTCCATTTTTCTGCTATTCCGCTCTCCAAGAGCCTCTGAATTCTTTAATGTAAATAATATTTATTGTTATATCTTTAATGCAATAATTTACTGAATTTTTCAAAAGTCTATCTGAATTAAAAATTCAAAAACTGTAATACACACGCTATCACTTAAAATAAAAGAAAAAAAGCTTTATTCCCTCATTTCTTGAAAAACATTATTTAGAGAGTCAAATGAGCTTTAAAAATGCTTGAAAAGAACTTTACATTATTT